ACTCGATCCAATCACACACATAACACGCTGGTGAGGACGAGGTGTCAGAAACATTCCCTTAAGACCAACGTCCGCACTGGTTCTGCCAACCTGCATCTGTGGGGTGATGAAACACGAACCTTGGGAGACAATTATCTTTGCTCCAATGACGTAACACGGGATGTCATTGGTTTTGTCATTTAACAGTAGGGATGTAGCAAGTTGCTGGAAAGACTTGACGATTCAATCAAATTGTGACCCGATCACTCATATATAATGCGCTCTTGGGATTGTTATTTTCATGTACAAAATTGGACTCCTTCATAAACGAACATTGGCATCATGATAGCCCTGTGTCTATTGAGCGCTTTTTCTCGCTAGACATACTTTAATGTTGCACCGAATTCCCTTGTTTCCCCGACACCACATTGCAAATAAGGATTCTCTCGCTACGACGCACATTTCATTCACGGTCCACCTGAGGAGGCAAGGCTACTGGTGCCCCTGAGGATACCGCGGTCAGATGCCCATTACGTACGAAGCGAAAATAAGAACTGTGATACCACAGGGTGACAGAAGAATCGCTCTCCGCGGAGAAGGTAGATTACCACTCGACAAAAGCCTCCACGGGGAGACTACATTGATGTTGCTGCGGGAAACAGAGACTCGCCCTCTGCGCTGTGTAAATGCCCCCTTAACGATCGCTTCCTCGGGCATCCATTACGAATCATGCCCCATATTGTTTTATTGACGGATATGAGGGATATGAATGATGATAGATTTTTCCCGTGACGTTCTCAAATGAATATATTTTTTTCGTCTTTTCAATTCGTTCTTTTAAAAATTTACTTTTTTAGGTGATCATATGATTCCAATTTTTTTTCCTAGCGGTGAACAAATATTAATTTTCGCTTTCCGTTTTTTTTAATAATGTGAGTCATTATCTTCATCTCGGAAGTCTTTTCTTTCATGTTCAAATTCCGTTACGTTTTCGTGCAAGCTGTTAAACTTCGTATAAGATTATATTCAAACCGGTGGAATATGCCACGTTTTAAAGGCGTAGTTAACTTTGAGATAAGTTTTTCTTGGATTGCTGAACTAAAGCTTAGAGTCTAAAAAATATATAGTTTGACAGAGATAAATAACTCCATGTAATATTAAAAGGGGCCTCTGTGAGAAAGGTTATTCAGTAACTTCATGTGGGGTTTATTACAGGAGAGGTACTCGTGGATATCCAGGTTTAAACTAATCTTCAGCAACCCATGCTTCTCGAAAGAGACGATTAACGGAATTGTTGGTTGACACTCGCTAACGTGGTTGACATGTCATCGTATCCCAGTTGCGTAGATCGATATTCATGATTTCAATCACTGGATTGTCTGGTCCAGACTCGATTTGTTTACAGACCACCGTCATATAGCTGGAATACTTCTGATTGCAATTTTCAATATTCAACAAACAAACCGGTGTTCCCAGTGTCAATCCGGGAACGTAGAGTTTTCGGCCCAAAACAAAAACAAACAAAAGGGCAGAAAGGAAGAGCAAAGAAAAGTGTAAGACCACTGGGTAATCTGTGAGGTCATTCCTTCCCTCTGGATATCACATCTTCATTACAGACACCAGGCCATAATTCTGTACACACACAAAACATGAATAAGTCAATTTAGGACTTGTAAGTGTACGTCATTCACTCTATATCACGATGCTCGGGTAACTAGGGCGAATCCTTGTGTAATCTCCTTCTCCGATGGCATGGGATCAGCATTCGGAACTCCTCCGTCCCGATCATTGATTCCGCGAGACCTCGGATCACATTTGGGCAAACATGATATTGATTTTGTTTCAAGACGGACTAATTGTGTTTAATTTGTGTCGTAAGGATGTCACATAATCCGCTCCGCGTGAACCGAGCACCTGTCGACAGGGAAGGTTCGGTTCGAAAGCGCCCCGAGATCGATGGTCAAGATTGTGGAATGGACGCTATATTTGCGCATTGAGAAAAACATGATTAGAGGGATTGAGTGCTTGCTGGGAAGAGCAGGGATTTTGGTCTCAGTTTCACTATCAATAGTATCGATGCTCTCTTACGATGTACTTGAATGTTAAGGGTCAGTAGTGTTGTGAACTGACGTAAATCAGGGGAAGGTTCCTGGAAATCTAGACGTGTATGTTTTATGTCTTCAGCCTTGGATTTACCGTCAAATATTGTAGTTAAGAATGCACGGAAAATATCGATTGGCACAGAAGTAGGCGGAGTGCTGATATACGCCAGTGTGCCGATGTTATCTTTTAAGGTCTAAAATGTTCAAATGTTTCATGAAAATAGAATCTAGTTATCTTTTGTCGAACTCGCCATATCGAACGAGATGGTGGTATCATGGTGAACGTGGCATCTTTTACCGACAATTCGTTTTACTCGAACAACGGTAACACCTGCATATTTTTGATAGATGGATGGATGGTTTGTTATGAATGAGTGAGTGAGTGAGTTTGGTTTTACGCCGCACTCAGCAATTTTCCAGCTATATGGCGGCGGTCTGTAAATAATCGACTCTGGACCAGACAATCCAGTGATCAACAGCATGAGCATCGATCTACGCAATTGGGATACGATGACATGTGTCAACTAAGTCAGCGAGCCTGACCACCCGATCCCGTTAGTCGCCTTTTGTGACAAGCATGAGTTGCTGAAGATCAATTCTAAACCGGATCTTCACGGGTTATATATTTTCGAAGTATCACGGGACTGTACCGAAGGTGAAAAACATATGCAAAACTATTGGATTGGTAATTTGAATTATAAGTGAGTGAGCAACGTAGCGACGGTGGCCGGAAATGGACCCATTTTGGGAATCGAACCCTGCACTTCGGCTTGACTAACGAACGCTTTTAACACTAGGCTACTCCACCATATGTTGGATTATGAATGATTTATGCTTGATCAAATGATAACTCCATTATAAAAGAATCCCCAAAATACTGAATACATGATTACTTCTTAAAGGCTCTATTGTCGTTGTAAAAGTTTAGCGGAACTTTTGCATGTGTTCAGCGTTACCATTCCAACAATGAGTGAGTAAGTTTAGTTTTACGCCGCACTCAGCAATATTCCAGCCATATGGCGGCGGTCTGTAAACATTCGAGTCTGGACCAGACAATCCAGTGATCAACAGCATGAGCATCGATCTGCGCAATTGGGAACCGATGACGTGTCAACCAAGTCAACTAGCACGTTATCATAAAAGGATATCATTATAAAGAACAGTAGAATACAGAAACGGGTTACAGGTCGTAAGCAACGGAAGGTAGATCACCACACCAGGCACCCCAGCTGGATTTAAACCATCCCTTCATGTGTTGGCGAATATTGAGAAATTTAGCCGAACATTAACAGAGCCCATTTTCTACAATCAAAACAGTGAAAGATACCCAAATACTTTGAATGGCATGGTTTTACATACCCCCTCAGGCATTATCTTTATGGTACCTCAGCCCCCGCCGAGGACACAGCCACAATCCACCTCTGTTAATAATCATATACTACCAATGTATTCAATACTTCATACATAACAAGATTGTGAATGAGATCTATTTCATTGAAACATAGACCAACTTAAATGAGAACTAGCTATTGAAAAGGTCTTTTAGTATTTTGTTACGGTAATATGTAGGCCTTGTAATGGAAGACCAACACAGTCAAGCAGGACATCTTGGACAGTGATTCTTTTATCAAAGGCATACAATAAGGAAACTCCTCACATTTCAGTAATCTTTCATGAATATATTTGCTGTGGCCAATACGGCAACGTCTCAATATGACCTCTACAAATCTGGACTGACAGCGAAAGTAGGTGTAACCGAGTGTGTCTCTATTGCATGTAGATTGTTTTAAATTAAATCTCTGATATAACATTAAATCTCTGATATAACATCTTATAACTGTCTTGTAATCGGTATATGGTATCAGGAGTATTGCCACATATTTGGTTACTGCCTTAGCAACAGAATCAGCTATTGTGTTACCAGACATTCCAACATGGCTGTGTAACCAACAGAAGACATGTCGTATTTGCCAGTAGCAAGATCATTATACAGTTCAATCTTTTCGATTAAAAGTGGATGTTCACATGGCAAATTTTAATAGCCTGGAGGCACGAACATCAATCTGAAAATATCATATACTGTTTACATTTGGACTGAGTATTGATACATTTAAGAGTTGTTGACATGGCAGTTACTTCTGCTGTGAAACTAGAAAGCTGCTATCCGGTAATCGAGAAGACATTGTTCTAGGTCCAATGATAGTGCGCCAACTGCGTCACCATTGTAAGATCCATCTGTAAATATAGATTTGTATGGATTATATTTGTTTTTAAATTGATTAAGTTTTGATTGTGTATACTGTCAGTCATTTGTTTCTGATTTCTTAGTTTGTTCAGGGGCGGTTGGGTAACCTAGTGGTTAAAGCGTTCGCTCTCGACAAAACCCGGGTTCGATTCCCCAAATGGGTATCATGTGTGAAGCCCATTTCTGATGGCCCCGCCGTGATACTGCTGGAATTTTGCTAAAAGCGGCGTCAAACTAAAATCACTCACTCACTCTACAATTTGGTCAGTGTCAGGATTAACGAACAACCAAGGTGGAGAAGAGAACTGAAAAGGAGATGTAATTTCGATATTAGCAGCAGAAATGAAAGGTTTAATACGTATTTCAAGTGACAGAATACCAAAAGATTTTTCTTATTATACAAATCGTCAATAAAGGGGATTGAACACACAGTTGTATGCAGGGTTGGAGTCATTGTGCAATGCCATGGAATGATAGCCTTTCAAAATATACTTTATACAGAGTCCTTTATGGTGGATTCGAGTCAAGAAATGTTTGTTATTTTCTTTTGTTTGTGAACGTGATTATAGTCTGTTAGTGGGTTTCATTAATGTTTGAAATGTCTGTGTCACAAGTTCCACATTAAGCTGCTCGACTGTGATTTCAACTAAACTCTTTATCGTTGCTAATTTCAGGGTCGCAAAAAGTGCACACCGACTACTCGCAGTGGGCAGCGTTACAGAGTAGAGTACCAGGACTGCCGAAGTGTGAAAGAATTCAACATGAAATTTTGTACGAATTGTAAAAAAGACCGTTGTTGTTACCCTCAGAAAACCAGGACCAAGTTCGTAGAATTCGAATGTAGTGGTGGCCGACGTGAAATAATGAACTTCATGTGGATCAAGAAGTGCGCATGTGACCGAGAATGTTACATTCCTAACAAGAAGAAGCGTCATATTTGGGACAATCGGCATTGAATACAAAATAAAATTGCACATGTCACCAAACTCAAAAGATCATTTCGAACATGCATATGAACATGATATATTACATGTGCAGAACACAAACAAAACGTTTAACATATTTGAAGCCAAAAGTCTTGGAACCAGATTCCCAGTGGATGAGTACCACCTCATCGAGAACAGAAATGATGGGAATCGACAATTGATCAATACTATGAGGTATTTCCATCAAACAGACTGGGAAAATCTCCAAGGATTAGTTTACATAAAGACGTTGATGAATAATAAGATGCCTATTGAAGCTTCGTCAATAGTTTGTGATAATCTGGAAGGAAGCCGTTCATGTTTGGGAATGGTCCTTTGTTTATATTGCAAACTATTCCAGTGCCTGAAAATAACAGAACCCTACGTGTTCGTACAGCAAATAGCTTAATAACAGGGACAGCGTTTGCTGATATCACCCTGACGAAGCTGCGCACGGAACATTATTGACGAGTCTGCCCATAACAGCTTTACAGACTTCAAAGAAGTGTGTTGTTAAAACGCAAGCAAAAAACCTTATGACAAAATAATCACAAAATATGATCGATCCAGAAAGCTGTCTCATACTCCCATTGCACTTAAACGTTTGTGGTAAGATGGGGATTTCAACAGCGATCTCGACTGTGACATATAATGACACAACTGCTTGCAATACGAATATGTTGACCGAAGTAGGAGACTGAGGTTGGTCTCTAACATAAGCGGTTGGCATAAAGTTTCACAGTTCGTCAGGGTAACTGGATACACTAACTAAATGCTAGTGTGTCTGACCCTCTCAACGTTAAGGCAGTTAGTATTGGTTAATTGAAGTCTACGGTGACTAGACTAGAACTACTTCACAAAGGTAATATTTTAAAATGATGAACTAGTTACGGAGAAGCTTTTGTTCGGACACACCGAATCCCCGACAACTGTTTTGGGGTATGTCTGCAAACGGCTGCTGGAACTTCAGTCACCGATTCGCGAAATGGGAAAAGGATTAATTAAGGAGCATTGATTGGAACGGTGCCATCTGGATCAACGACGTTTCTGTGTGGTATCATATTTGTACATATTCGAGTACTGAGATACTCTAAATCAGACACAAAAACTGTCCCGCTACACCGTTTGATTTTTGTGACAGTGTAGGAAGCTTTCATCACGACATTATCAGACTGTGAGCCTGGAACTACCTTAGACCGACCATTAAATAATCTGGGGTTTGAAGTCAGGAAGGGCAGCTTCTGGAGTCGTTGTTTGGAACATGAACGCTTTCGGGTACTGCTTAGTTTGTTTTTTGTATTTTGTAAAACGAGAGGCAAAACCTTCCTTTTTACGTTGTGTTCTAAAACAAGGTATTCATTTGTAAGAATCACACTGTCCACACCCCGGACAACTGATATTATTAGGCGTATTATAACCTGATATCAAGGGTATATATGAATATAATGTTGTGACGTTATTATAATAAGATCCTTCTATGAAAACTAACGTTAAATGTAAAATGTTGTGTTTCAGGTAAAAAGCACACTTTATGCTGAAGAATAATTTTTTGGATTTCTTGGGTTGACAAGTCCATTTGTGCTTAGATTTGTGAGTGTCATATTTCAGACTGGAAATCTACAAGCAGAATCAATGTTGAACATTCCTCACTGACCCTTCACATTAAAGGAACACATTATATTACTTAAAGATTGGCGTGCTAAGCAGGAATCAGAAGTTTCATAAATACCTCATTATCTTCATTTTGGCCCAAGTAACGCGTGTGTTTTCTACTCAAAATAACATATGCCAAAAGCATTTACGTGAAGAAATGGTTGCTTGGACTAACCACAAGGAATTTTTCCTGGCTCCAAATGAGCACGTACTGCTAATATCGGTTGTATATATGAATATTTGTAGCTTTAATATGTATTTAGTCCATGAGTGATGATTGCTGAGTTGGAATTGAACCCAATTGTTGTCCTTGACACTGAAGTTCACAAAATACCGAAAGGTTTTCTCTGTAAATACACACAGGAATGGTCACGGCATACTGTTTCTTGAAGGTTTAAATAAGGAACATATTTTGGATTATGGAAACTATTTATGTATTCATATACATATTGATATGATTGTTACTGCAGCTATCACCGTGTGCACATACAGCCCAATCTGGAAAGGTCGAAACAATGTGCGTGTGGAACATCTCGTTGTCATTAAATGACTCGGATTACGTTTGTATATAATAAATTAACAACCGATGATACGCTGTACAATTTTGGAAGCATGTTTCGAGTGACTTTCTGTTTGGCCTTCAAAACGGATTTGTTTATGTTTGGTTCAAACAAAATATTTTACCTCAAGTATGGAGAACAGAAAATTGTTCAGCTTTGATGCCTGGCTCGAAAAGTGTTATTATTTACGTAATTTCACAAACATATGTCAGCAGATTGTACTGATTTGTTGTAGCATGTTCACCGTTTGTACATTTGATTTTTCTGATTTGGAAAAGCATTTTGTCAATTTCAGTTTTATTGTAAATTTCATTTTTCAGGCTTACAATGTGTTTTTTGTGAAGATTCCTCCGAACATCGCTCTTTAATATGTAACGGCACATATATTTAAAAATTACCGTGTCTACCTTTACAAACACCATGCCAATAAATATAAGGATTCCCTGCAAAATGTTGTATATAAAGAAACATTAAGTCAGATATACGACATACGTCTGTATTTGTCTGTGAGTTTGGCAAAATGGACATCCTTGTCTAGTTCACATATACTAGGAAAACAAAACACACACACACACACTCATGCATGCATGCATGCATGCATACATACATACATACATACATACATACATACATACATACATACATACATACATACATACATACATACATACATACATACATACATACATACATACATTCATATTTAAGCCTTAAGTTATCTGTCCAAATTGGTTTGTATTGCCATTTAACACAATAAATACAAACGTTGACAATGCCTGTTCACAGTTAGACGTCAATAAATATCTTATTTGAGCATTCTTAGATATGCGATATTGTACACAACATTCACGGTCTATTGGACTTCTGTGATCTGTGCGTAAAAAGAACCTAAGTTACCTGTTATTTTAGAAGTCATATATGGCGTTTATATTTGAATCATGATGACATCTAATGTTTGCCTTCATCACATATATTGCAACAAGTTGCATGAAATTGTGGGTGTTGTTTATTGACAGTTACCTGAAGTTACATGTATATAATGTTACCATGCACATTTTATATAGCACATGTTGTAATTAACAGTTCCATACTGTTTGTGTGTTATTATGTTGCTAGATTTAATACAAATGTATTTTTGTTTGAAAATGTAATAACATTCCATTTATTTTTTTATACTTATCCCAAGGACCTTTCACGCACTGGCAAATTTATCTCCCACAGAAAGAGTACCCATTAGATCTTTGATGATGATTTTCAAATCCAACTTGCTGCAGGTGTGACGTAAACCAGATACATTTTTATTGTAAGTGGATATGGGATACTTCGTAACAAAGTGTGCTTCTTTTGTTTTCATATAATGTTATGTTTTAGAGACGAACACGTTTACGTTGGAACACATTTTAATTGAAAAACATGATATTGATCAAGTTTGTTTTTCATTATGAAACACATTATTAAACCTGCATGTGAAAGCATGATGACCAAGCCAAGATGAGCTTATTTCACCTAAATCTAGAAACAGATTTCATGGGAATTGAAACATTCTGGTCATTTATGGAGGTGTGTCCATCGCATTAATAACGATATCCTTAGCACACATTAGGTAGAATACTCCATCGTATACACGTGTTTCATGGCGGAATACAGAACGTATATTCCACTAAGAGTGATGCCTTCAGATTATGTTGAAATGCCTAACCATGATAACACGCTGTACGTTGTATCATGCATTTGATATACTGTCTGAGTGATATACAATAAATCCATCTCGCTTAACTCTGTTTTTTTAGTCTGTTGCCGAAGTTGGTATCAGGTAGAACAGGATCGCCCCCGCGGTGTACTGGTTAGAGCGTCCACCCGGAGAGCGGAAGGTCGCGGGTTCGATCCCTGACCGCGTCATACCAAAAGACGTTAAAATATGGTACTTGTTGGTCCCTGTCTGGCGCTCGGCATTAATCGGTACAACAAGGACTGGACGACTCGGAGTCAGTATAATGTGTCTGAGTGGGGTATTAATGCTTCACTGCGGCATGGTATCTCAGTGGGCTAGCACTATAAAACCAGCTTAAGTCTTGGCTAGTACAAGCAGCCGCACATACACATACACACGCATGCACGTCATCATATGAGCGAAATATTCTCAAGGACGACGTAAAACCCAATTTCACCTCACCTCACCTCAGGTTGAACATAAAGTCACATTAGAACCACGCCAGTATCGTTTTGGATTTGATATCTTATTCCAGTTGAAGAACCTTAGTTGAAATCATCAGTCATTTCAAATGACAAATATCACATAGTTGTTACATTTAGCGATCTGCGCATATCGAACATGGTCAACAGAGCTTTAAATACCCGGTACTACATGTGCACGTTTACTCTTTTATGTGTAGCTGGAAATGCATATGCTGCTGAATTAAGTCAGTCGTTAATTACCATTTATTACTCACCCGTTAAATATATCACTGCTTAATAAATCTATAAATTTATAATGTTATTACACATTGTGTAATAATTACACATTGTGTAATCATTACACATTGTGTAATAACATCGCGTGCCGCCGGAACTGTTTTTCTTACACACGGTCACATGACCGAGTATACGCATGACCCAGCTGCAGGTGTGCGGGCGTAATGTACTCGTTGAATTCTTAGGAAAGAATTTTCAATTGTTCTTTGCTCTGTTGCGTGTAATAGAATTAATATTAAAAAATAATATGTTGGTTGAAGTCATTTGGTCCCATTTTCATACCCCGTTGTTTATTTTTAAAAAATCAAATCAAATAGATGATCGTTGACAATCATAAATGAAAATTAATGTTACCCGTGTTATGACGGCGTAATGCACTCGTTCTGTGAGCTGAATTCTGAGATATTATTTGATAATGTTGGGTGAGTAATAAATAATATACTAACCGATGTCCCGTGTAATGCCATATTTATGAAACTCGTGAATGGTATAGGTATCTAACGAGCGAAAGCCGTTTACTCGATTCATAAATATGGTATTACACGGGACAGGGTTTAGTATTCTCTATATTTCGAATTGTAACGCCCTGATTGATGATCCTAAAACAAATTCATATATTCAGATGTGCATATTTAAGGGTTTTAATTCACAAATGATTTGTTTCTGGTTAATTGTGACAATTCTATTATACAACATGTGGTACAATTTATTGTCATCTATATGGATTTGGATGAAAGATATGTCCAGTTCGAAGAAACACGTGCTGTCACTGGATTGTATGGTCCAGTATATTGTTTACAGGCAGATGTAATATTGCTAGCGTAGTGCTGGATGGAGTCATGAGTTCTACAAATAACAAACACAATGTATTTTTCGTAAGAGACATCGTGTGTTGGTAGAGCACACTTCTACAAACAGATCACGACACCTTCACTCTTCACCTCTACCTTGGTGTCATCACTTCGTTTCAGGGGACCAATTATATAATTTCCAATGCGATATCGCATTTTAAGCCCACCACACCCATGAATTGAGACTGAGTTGATATCTTATATTTGCGTATATATTGGATTATTGTACAAGAGCTATCCAGAAAAAGGATTTTAAAACAGTATGTTCACTACCAAGTTGTTTTTGAAGAAGCACCTCTAAAGATTGGTGACAAGTGAAGATCCGGGTTAGAATTGATCTGGAACTGCAACCTATGCTTCTTGTAAAAGGCGAATAACGGGATCGGGTGGTCAGGCTGGCTGGCTTGATTGGCACATGTCAGCGTATCCCAACTGCGTTGATCGTGCTCATGCTGTTGATCACTGGATTGTCTGGTCAATAGTCGATCATTTACAGACCGGTGCAATAGAGCGAGAGTGCGGCGTTAAATAACCAACCAGCCAACCAAAGATTGGAAGGACGGCAAATGACAATAAACATGAGTGAGTGAGTGAGTTTGGTTTTACGCCGCTTTTAGCAATATTCCAGCAATATCATGGCGGGGGACACCAGTAGTGGGCCAGTAAATATGAAATATGTATGCACGATGTGTGCTTTCAATGGCACATATAGCAGGTGTTTGTCGTCTCGAGTCATTTGTTCAGATGTGACAAAGAAATATAGGTCCTGCGAAAATGTACATCATTTGCGAATGTTGTGGTTTCTGTGTCATGTTATTCGTCAACCAAACACCAATAATGAGAATGAATGTTTGACATATCTGGACAGGAACGTGAATTCTTGGCAGCCATTTGATTATTTACTAGCCTACAGTATATTTCCTGCCGTAAAGAAACGTGGATGACGTCATATAGTATTGATTGCTACTACGGGACTTCACATATGATGTCATTTTATTACATTGAGAGAAGAGCTCCATGGCAAAAATGGCAACATGCGGTAAACTGCCGATAAATCGATAATTACCTGAGAATAATTATTGGAAAAAATATCTTACCTTGACATCCTTGCATTTAGTAGCTATACAATTCAAGTAAAACCTTAATAAATAGTTCGTTTGTTGATGTAAATACCGTCCACATTAGACATTCATTTTCCATAATGATTGAAAATGGGAATATACACGAATGCATACCTACATACACAAACACACACCTACACTCACACACACACACACACACACACACACATACACATCCATCCATCTATCATTACGCGCGCGTAGTGACAGACAGACATGCTACATACATGCGTGTCAACAACCTACTAAACTCTAACCGCTGATATGTTTGATGTTCATGACATCAATCACCTGATTGTGAAGAATATCTATAGACAGCTCTGATAGAGCTGATTTATTGCTCAGTGCGGTGTTAAACAACATATCAACCAACAAAAGTATATTGGGTATCACTTGAATGTCCACGTTGAGACGTTGTCTTCACTTCCTGAAGGTTTTTCGTCATTTTTAGAGGAAATCATTTATCAGTTTCATGTCTCTCGTTTTCCCATACACCGTCAATGTTCACATGCACAAAATGTTTGTATATTATTTTCTATCGCTACTTTGTTAACTTCACCAGCGTCGTGTATCTGTCGTGGCAATACACCGTCTAATGTTCATGCAAAAAACAAAACAAATTTTCTTTTCGACATATTTTACCGGTGTCAAATTTTCCTGTGATGTTCAAGTACATGAAAAAATAAAACCTAATTTTCTATTGCCAAGCTGACAATATTCACAATGTCTTACATTTCAGGTTGCAGTACACTTTC